TATATCTTAGTGAGGACACTTATAGGCATAATGCATTTGCCAGCCCCTTACCTTAACCATAACCTAATTCTAAGCCTAACCCTAAAGCCAAGTCTTGACCCTTAAACGAGCCTTTGAGAAAGTGAGAACAGGCCAAAATGTGCTCACTCAGTAAGATCATGCTCAAAATAGTCTCCACAAATATATAAGTACAAATACACACACAAACCCATTAGATTTGTCCTTTAGATGTCATATCTTCACGCTGTCACACAGTCGGCCCAGAGGGATCTTCAAAAAAAACTTGCTTAGCCTAATTCATAGGAGAGGAGAAATGGATGTGGAAAGCTCGCACATAAACAAGACTCATAAACAGTTCGGGGGAAATTTCAGACTTTTCAGTTCGGGGATTAGTAAGATTTTAATAAACATTACTTTCCTCAGGGAGCATCACTCCGCTCTCATTGAATTTAGAACAAATTGTCAAAACAACGTCACAAACCATTTGTCTAGTTTCCCCTTTGAGTTCATCGTTCCTGTTTCCCATGAAGCGACTGGTGATGTTTTGTTCCATATCTGTCATATCTGCCAGCTTTACTGTCCTTATTTGACACTTTGTCATGTGACCTAAACACTAAACTTTGTGTCTCTTCCTGCAGAAATCGAGGCGATATCGGCCTCTGCGAAACAGCTGTTCTCCCATGACCCTGCCCCTCACTAAGTCTGTATCCATGCTCGCCATCAGCCAGAGAGACATCGATGGTGAGTGACACGCTGTGAGGCTGTGATCCAGATCACGGCCAATACTTGTAACATTCAGCCCCATCAATAGATTCCTTTCGTTTATACTTCCTGATTTAATGAGGTGGTTAATAGATAAAGGATTTCAAATGTGTTTTTCAAAGAGACTTTCATATGGTCATCGTACTGTCTTGCTTTACCATATTTGATCAGTCATTTTAAAACAAAGAGAAATCATTGTTTCCTAGCTCGATAAAAATGTTTTAATTTAAATATGTGAGTAAAATCGAAAGGTTCCTGTTTAATTGATAGATTATCTACTAGATCATTTGGTCAGTACACCATTTCAGAAATGTAGGTTTTTCCCCATCTTGATTATTCTACCTCATATCCTCCGTCATTCTTCACTGCTTCCATGAAGTTACTATATTTTCCTAAGTGAATTCATCCTGCTCTGGTTCTTTCCTCCTGCTCAGCAGTGGGACACCTGAGACGTAAGAGGCGAATTTCCTTCTCTTTCAACCTTTCCCCAATCCTCACCAAATCTAAGTCTCAGTTCATTTATGGGGATTCTTCATCTAGTGACGATGAGGATAACTTAAGTGAGTACTGTAAATGCACAGTAGCTGCAGTAGGAAGTAGCTGTGATGTTGGAATCCAAACACTAGTTGTGTTCACATGTCCACCCTTTGTGCAGCAATAGTTTACTAGGTAGATAGCTCCAGTGGTAATTCTCTCTTTTTCCCTTTCTGTGGTGGTCAGCACTATCGCCCCACAGCAAGAAGGTTCCCAGTTTGAATCCCAGCTTGACTTTGTGTGGAGTGTGCATGTTCTCTCTGTGGGTACATCCATAATATTACATTTTCATTTGAAAATGCATCAGCTCTGCTACGGATAAGCCAGGTGTCTGCACTCCTCCAGATTTTTAGAGCTGCTTAAACAGAGAAGTTTGAGAATGCTGCTGATCCCATTTTAGTCACAGTCTGGATGGGTAGAAACTCAGATGTTTGGATATGATGAAATAGACATTCACAACCAATTGGTGATTGGGTCTTTTGTCATGGCGTAGCTTTCACTCATTCGTCCGGCTTCTATCACATGATCCCCCTCTAGAAGAAAACATCCTGCATTCGCCTTGACTACCAGTGTGGAACGTAACATGGATAATCAATTACATTTTGTTTACTTCTGCCCACAATCTAAAGACATGTAGATAAGAGTTAGGTCGACTCCAGAGTGTACCCCACCCCAAATCAGTTGGGATTGGCTCCAGCTCCACCCTCAAATAATTAGCATAGTAGGATGGTCACCGATGAGTGGAAGTGTTGTCTTAATGCATCAAAACTATTTCTGTAACCACTCAGATTAGAGGTAGACAAGGTCGACTGAAGGAAATCTGCCATACTGAAAAAATAAATCTTAACATTCAATCACAAAATACAATTAATGGATTATATTACATATTGTTAGAGAGTATGCAGAAATATACAGCCTAAACTTTGCTGCGACCTTTCAGTTTGAACACTTTTGTAAAGGGTGAGTGCTCTCTGTAGGATTTATGCCTCCTCAACAGACTTGCACTCCGGCTCCAACACAGCTCGATGCAGAAGGCAGATGAAGCCCAAAAGTTCAGATGCAGCAAACTTTTCACAAGGAAACCCCTAATTACTGCCCATATTAAGCTGCTTGTGAATGTGCAATTAGTTTCTAGCAAAGCCACTGGTGTAGAAAACTACCTATCACATAGGCAGCAGGCTTTGTGTTAATAATTCCAGTTGACAACATTAAATAAGACCATGCCGTCTCTTGTCCCCCTACCTGGCCCTGTTTTTAGCTGACCTTTTACCAAGATTAGTCTTTGGATTTGTCTCTTTGCAAAAATTTAAACACAATCAGCAGAGAAAGAGGAAAGGAATGGTTGTAAACAGTGCAGGTGAAGTGAAGAAGCTCTCCATTCCCTGCAGATAAATGTGAGCCTGTCACCTTTAGTCAAAGTCGCTGAGCCATTCCTTCCCCTTTCTTATCTGTGAGATATTTCCATTAGTGTTCTCCGTCTCCTTGACTATGTTGCTAGCAACACAGGAAGGCCAAGACTTTGCCCTCATTATCCGGTTCTGGAGTTTGACTTTCTGATGCAGAGCAGGGCGAGCAATGCTTTGCATATTTCTGTTTTACAGAATATTTGGTATAAATGTTGCTGTTCAGAAGGAGGCAGATAAGTTCCTTGATCAGCTGATGCCAACTGAGACTTTTTTTTGGTCTCTGTCACTTGTTTTATTTATTATTTTATTAATTATTTTTAAAATGTATTTTATTTGTCCATATATTCCATAATCAGAATAAACAGTGACAGTTAAGTGTTGTTTCCATTAATTATCTAGACTGTGCCATATTCCTACCATACCCTACCATATTCTAAATTGTCCCACCACAGTTTGTCACACCAGACATTTTTTACACTTCTCATAATAACACAAGATTATGTACAAGATAATGTGGCGTGTAGAGCGTTGCTGCACTATTTGCCAGATACTTGCTTGCACTCTGTTACTGCTATAGAATTAATCCTTTGCGAAACTCTGCAGTTACTAGAGTTAGATCATCCGTAGGGGACTGTGGGTGGAGCTCGGGTCAGACAATGTAGTGGCAGCCAGCATGTCTTTGACAGAATGACCATCATTTACTGTGGGAAAAAATGACTTTGTATTTTCAGAGTTCATTGGTGTTTGGCAGCCAGAGACTTTTCTGAGCCAATATCTAGCAGCCATTAATGGCACTGGATCTAAAGGCAGAACTGGCTTCAGCTTTTGGCCTTTATTTTTCTTGCCACTCTCGTCTGTGCCAGAGCCATTTTGTTGTCAGCTTCCACACAGGCTGGCCGAGGGTACCTAAAGGTGAAGTGCATTGCTCATGGGCATTATTGTGTTCCTCGTCCAGCTCTTGTAACCAGGACATGAACTGAGAGGCTTCTGGACTAAAGACTGTTTTTTTTAACTATCAGGTCTGTACGGTTGTTCAGTTACCTCAGGGGAAACCAGGACGGCACAGTGGAAAGTGTGTTCAACCCCTAAACAGAGATTTTCACTGCCCAAAATAGACAGAGGAATCATTTCCTTCTTAGATACAGCAAATTAAAAAAAAAACCTGTCCTGTTTATACCAGCTCCTGAATCTTTGTTCTACTGCTTACATCCTTTCCTGTTTCTTTCCAGGTATGAGGTCTTTTTCCAGCACCTCTGGGTCACTAGCATACAGGTCAGTCCTGCAAATACACATCACCATAAAAAAACAGTTTGTTAGTTTTTTACTGTAGCAAGGATGATTATAGTCCTATATAGAGGCTGTATGGGACAAAATTCCATTCCAAAAAACAACCATTTTCAGAATGAGAGAACAGGTATGCATTGTAAGTGCTGCTGTTTAAAGATAATGTGTGTGTGTGTGTCTGTTTGTTTGTTTCAGTATATCAGAGGAGGAGCCTGGGCCTCTGCGGAGCGACACTGAAGGGAAGAGTGTGACGAAAGTCAGCCGGACTTTCAGCTACCTCAAGAACAAGATGTACAAAAAAACCAGGGTGAGAGAACATGGAGTTTCATTTAGTTCTCCTTAATAGAACTGCAGCAGGACTTTGAATGTAGCTTATATTTACTTAACTCACTTTAACTCTATATACTCTTTAATGCACTGTTCCTCAGTGCTGAGTCTTCATGTCTGCACTTTGTTTGGTCAAACTTCTCTGTCCTCTCCTGGCCTCCTCCTCCTAAAACATTTATTTGTTCAAGCAAGGATGACTGAACACCTGGCTGCCTCTCAGCCTCACACTGCTCCACATTCGTATGTGTGCACACATTCACATTGAAAGCTGACCTGTGCATCTTCCTCTGCTGGTCTCTGAGCAGCTCCTGTTGTGTCACTGGGGGTTATATGTCTTGCTAGGGCAAGTCTGTGTTTCTTCTAATGTCCCGACATTCACATTTCCCCAGTGGGTTTGTTTTTGAGACCACAACATTTTTCTTATCACAGACCTGAATCTCAGGTGGAAGATGTGGTCACAGTCATCTTTCTTTTACATACAGAACCAAAGCATGTAAGGGGATTTACCTTAATGTAATTTATCTGTAAGACTTAAGAAATTGCATTATGAGTGATGATAATCCTAAACCCCGTTTAAATTGCACTGATAGCAGGATATCTGCAGGTCATTACAAATCTTAAAAACACTTGAATTCAGTTTCTTTAAAAGTCTTAAATAGAATTTTCTAAAGTAAAACATATTTCCTCTTGCCCACAACAGGTTGTAATGTTATAAAATGTTTTTGTATCGACCTGCAGGCTGTCAGGAGACATTTCATGGCTGTAAGCTAAAAGTGGGACTGTTGTGACAGGACGTTGTGTGCAAAGAAAGCTGTGCAGTCTTTCAGCGTTTCAGTAATCACCATTAGACCTTTAGCAGGAAAATGCGTCTGCCCTTGCAAACAGACACTTAGGGGGAACAGGAAGTAAAACAGGAAGATGAAGGTGGTTTTGGTTTTCTAAACTTGGCTGCTGCTTTGCTTTTAAAGAAACAGGCTTATGACGGAACACACTTACAGCTGCTCGCTTCACATCAAAGTTCAATGATTATTAAACACGTCCTTTAGAATCCAAGACAATTAGCAAATGGTGATGTCCTTATTGAGGTTGTTGAGATTCATCCATAATTGACTAATGTATTTAGTGACAGTTAAAGAGGCCCCTCAGCAACCATAGTCATACATCACATTAAACATGTTTTTTCTTGACTGAATTATGTGAATAAGAAAAGCAGAATTAAACACATTAAAATAATTACTGACTACTGTTCTGGTTTTGAACACTACCCAGATAAGTTTGAGCACAGAATCAAAAGTGTAACTGTTCTTGGGGAACTAGTTTGAGCTGTGTTGTCATAGTGTCTAGTTGTGTGTTTGCTAGACCGAAGGGTCATTGCAGAAATAGCACCTCCTGTCGCCATGCAGTCATTTCCTCATTTCGGTGTTCCTGACGTAGCCTTGGCACTGGTTGTAGCTTCAGCCGCTCGACCACATCCAGAGATGTTATACAGGAGATTCACAGGGAGCCATAGCTTCTCAATGAGATGGAAAAGTTGGCTGGAGGTAGGCTAACAGAACAGAAAGCTCTGGTTTCCCCTTTTAAAATTGCAAAGAGAAAGACTGTCACAATACTGTGTTAAAAGTGACCGTTGTTCCTTTCTGGGCTCAAGTGTTATTCCACTGAAGCCAAGCAAGTTACGTTAGATTTCACTTTTTTGTTTAAATCTCTGGTTTAGATGTCACAAGGGATTACTTCTCCCATTATGTTAGCTTGTAGAAAATGTGCTGAGAATCGTCCTTTGCTTCCTATGTTATACTAATAAGTGGAATTGTTTTGGGGTTTTTGTTTCTAGCTACTTTATTAAGTTTCAAGTTCATTCATAGATGTTTTTTCAGTGTGTTCCACCACTGGTTAAACAGCTGTTTTACAGACAAATGACACAAAAGTGTTGTAATGGCTATAAACACATAGGTTTGCTGTCATCCAGTCTGTCTTATGGCATCCCGACTCATCTGAACCAGACCAGCTCCAGTGTGTCAGAGCTTTGTGGTGCCCTCAAACCAAGAGGCCCAGGGCTGGTCATTAAAAGGAGCTGGAAACTCCATTTTCCCATTTCCTCTGGGTTTGGGTGGAGGCTCTGTGATGTAAATCCAAGAGAACAAGAGCTCTGTTCTTCTCGGCATCACTTCATGGGATTGTGATTCAGCTCAGTGTCAGATATGACCAACAGCCGAGGATGACCTTGTCCAACGATGCCAAGGCAGCAGAAAGACCGCCCTGTTGTAGAAAAGGTCAAAGGTTTGATTCCCAGACAGCGTGTCTCCGACAGTAGTCATGCATCCGACAGGAGCGTCTTATACGATGGTTTGAATAGAGCTTTGCAGCAGCTGAGAAAACATGCAATGTGGATATTAATATGGTAATATGTTAACTGTTTGTGCTGTTTACCAACGTCTCCAACATTATAAACATCTACATGTTATCCTGTAAAATGTATCAAATAAGTCGGTGTTAGAGAGACCATAAAAAACCTCCTGTAACAAAACATGCAACATTTAAAACAGTCCCTTAATGAGACAGTTTGTTGTCAGCATAAATAATGCATCACTTAATATGCAAAGCCCCCCTGCTGTGTAGTACATCAAAGTAATAATGTTGCTCTGCTGGATTCAGATTAGAATTTAACATAAGCAACTGGTCCAATGCTGAGACATTTTCTTGATGTCTGGTAAATTAGTGTAATCTTAATTACAGTGTTATTTTTATCTAAACTTCTAATTGGCTGGAGAAAAAAAAGTTTAAGTAATTATTGAGAAAGTTCGTAGTGGGTGTGTGTTGTAACTGTGATGATTCTGTGTTTGCAGGAGAAGGAGCGAGACAAGAGGGAGAAAGACAAGGAAGGCAAAGAGAAGGACAAGAAGACAGTGAACGGTCACCTGTTCACAGCAGTTGGCTCAGGCCACGCCTCTCATTGTTCCCAGTGCAGCAGAGCTATCACCAGCAAAGAGGCATTCCATTGCACACGTAAGAACCTTTGTTCGTTGTTTTAATTTTTTATTCTCCTTTGTTGTTAGTTCCTGTTGTTTTATGTCTGTTTAAAGCCCATAAAATCCTCTGATCCTTTATTAAAAGTATTCATTTCATCACAACTTAATTTCTTATCTGAAAACAAGGCCTAGTTCTCTGCACTGTTAGAAACACAATGAGGAGAAACACAGAAGTCTCTGCACTGTACATCACTAGGCATGAATAATGCTGCAGGGGAGATCAACTCACTCTGGAGGCTCAGTCACTACATTTGGACCCTGCAATTATTGTAACATTAATATTCTTATATAGCCTACCAGTCAAAAGTTAAACTTACAGATAAATAAAATTATTATTATTTTGTTTGGTCGTTGATCATCTACTTACAAAGTCTCACATTTCTCAAGAACCATTCATCTTATCGATTTCACACTTAACTATGGAACGCCATACTTAATGTGTATTTTTAATGGCCCGAGGAAATGCAGTGATTGATTTAGACACAGGATATACGCTCAATATAAATAAACTTTGAAAATAGGTCAGCAGTTTCCGCTGGATTCACCACTAGTGAGTGTGTGTGTGTGAAATATCCTCCAGTGAAAAACGACAAGACACCAATGACATCAAGAGGGTTTGTGGTGATAAGAACTGACGACACTGTTGGGGCACTGTAAACATGATCACGTGATCTCTGCAGTGGAGTTAATGCACCACTCCCTGCCTCTGCTGCATTAGGCGGTTCCACCTCTCACTTGATTAATGCCGAGGATTTGATGCTGGTGTGAACACGTCTGTGCATAGCCAATTCTCCAGATTTTACCCGTAGGCCATGTCTGAAAACGCTTCTATTGTCGTTCATGATAATGGCGCTTCCACAATAACAACTATTGATTCTCCAGTTCACGGTTCAGTGTACTAAGTCGAGCATCACTGAACTTTGAATAAACAGGTGAACAGTTTTTTTGTCCATCAGCGAACCACGTCAAGATTGTGTGGACTGAGTCCAGCAGTAGGTCTTAACTTGCTGTGGCTGGATTACTGCGGGTCACTTTTACAGTTTCAGAAAGAAAGCTGCAACCAGCATCACCAAGTAAACAACACATTCCATACAGGAAGATTTAGAACAGCCACTGCTCTAGTAAATAAAATTGCCGGCCTGTTTACAAGGTTTACACCTTTGTTAGAAAACACTTAAAATGTTCATTCATTTATATTAAGAGTACCTCTCAATACATTGTATGGCTTGAATAGTGACTACTCTCTGTAAATGGCTCATACTAGTCTGCACCACCCTCATGATCAGTATGAAGTAGTCGAAATGCCTAAAGGCCCACTTCTAATGTCCCAGTCAGGCTTTCATTACAGACAGCAAAACCTCTTCTGCATTGTTTTCCATTGAAGCAGCAGCTCTGAAGAGGATGTAGTTTATTGCACAAGATTTTGGCGGAACCCCAGAGAGAGAAAAGGAGAAACTAGTTCTGCAATAAACAACAGCAACACAGCGACCCTCTTGATGGCCACAATCTGCTTCTGATACTTCAGACGGCCAGATACAGCTCTTGTTGTGTTCAGGCGTTCTAGTTCGGATCGTTGGAGCCACAGACATGTCTGTGGGTGTTTTCTGGAGGCTTGTGCTTGCAGATGTCTGGCTGGTGTCCATTCAGCAGACAAGTACAGTGATCCTTTGTCTCAGATTAGCTGGAATTAGCGGTGCAACACACAGGAAAATGCCTCAAAAAAGACCATTTAAGAAAAAAACACTGCAGGAATATATATGTATATACAATACATAATATACTAGGTAGATACTTTTATCCAGATGTTTTTTTTTCACTGTAACAAGGTCATATTTTTCAGGTTATGGGGGAAATGAAAAAGTGACTGTGGCACTGCCTTTGCATACTTTTCTCACCCTCGCTCTGAGCTGTGTTGATGTAATCCCAAGAGCGGAAGTGCACTATGCATTTGAACATGTTCGACTATGTATTCAGTGAATTTATGGGTTTACTTCTGTGAAGTGTGTTTAAAAAAAACTTCTCTCTCTTCAAAAAATGTATCTGTGAAAATTTGTGTAAACTTGGGGAAGCTCTGCAAAGATTTTTTGAAAAATCTGAGATAGTCCTCTTGCTTTCACTTCCTGATCTGGTCTTTCAGTTGTTCAGTTGTATGAACAATCGACAGTTTTCTGCTTTTACACTGCGACTGTAAAAAAAAAAGTGCAGAAACTTCTAATGCAAAACAGACGACTAGACGGGATCAGATTACAGAGCAGATCTTATTTTAGTGCTCTTGCATGATGACCCTTGTTCCAAAATGGTGATTTGGGAATGTTTACATAATTGAAACGTTCCCATGCAATTCAGTTTTTATGCTCATGTGTCATTCCACAGCCTCATCTCTTTTTTTTCCCCCTCGTCCATGCAAAGTATTACATCTCGATTGCATCACATGCGCTGCTCCAGTCTGGCTTTCATTAGTGGGCTGGTGGAGTTTCCTGGCCGCCGATGAAACCCAGTCAGAATTTCTAGCCCCCACCTTTCCACAAAACCCTCAGCACCCCCCACCCCCGGCAGCAGGATCGCTAGTATTCACTGAGCGTTCTGCCTCTTTTCTTTCCAGACTGTAATGCTTCCGTCCACAAGGGCTGCAGGGACAGCCTGCCTGTTTGTGCCAAGGTGAAGATGAAGGTAAATGTTCCCTCACACTTACTCCACCACCGACTCTATAGTGTTCTGTTGTCTTGCCGCCAATATTGATTTGAGCTCATCATTTATGCTTTTATGCTGTTTCTCTGGCCAGTTGCCCAAGCAGCAGTTTGCTGTCCCAGATTCAAGCTCCTTTTCTACAGTCACCATGAGGAACAAATGTGAGTGCCAACACAAAGTTTGATTCCATATGTCGTCATGTTCTGTAACCATTAATGGAACTTTTTAACAGTCATTTGAGCCAAATTTACCAAAAACGATAGTTTCTGTAGGTAAAACTCAGTAAACAAGTTGTTCCATTGGGGCTGTAGTGAGATTCAGGGATCCTTACTGGAAAGTATACAATCTCTTGTGCTATAATATAAGTCACAGTAAACAGAACTTGTCTTTGTAGGATTCCTTACCTCTGTTTTGTGAAAATACCAGTGTTTCCAATTATAGTAAATTCTGTGTTTTTTGATCAGTACTGAACAGATCCACCAGCCTTGACTCAGGAAGCTTTTCAAAACATACTGGATAATTTCAAAACTGGTTTGTTAATTAGCTAAACTAAAATCTTATTAAAAGTTGTTATTTTGGAGATGCAGGATTGAACTTTTTCATGAAATACAACTGTAGCAAAAACAACAGGCAGTATAAGGGGCTTCCTTTAAGGATGATTGTAGGTTTAAGAGGTTCCTGCTAACTGCACTGTGTGTCTGTCTCTGGTCCAGCTGGTGGGACAAGGGAGCGCCCGTGGTCGGTCATCTTGTCCCCTGAAGATCACTCCTCTCTGATGATCCCATCGTCTAGGAGACCAACCAGTATCATGAATTTCCACAGCAACAACCTGTCCAAGAGTTTGTCCATAAGCAACATCGCTGGGTGAGCTGGCATATGTGTGTTTGTGTGTCTGTGTGAATATTTGAGTGCATCTAGACAAAGTTGGATGAGGAGACTCTAAAGTTCCTATTTCCACTTAAATGAAATTAAGTTAATTACAATTGTTTCAGTTTATGGTGTTAGTTTGCTTTATTTTTATTTGACCACTGCATCCACAGTGGGTTTTTTTTTTTAAGCATCTCCATGTGTATCTGTGGTCATGACTGGTCATGAAACAACACTGTTAATTCAACTTATTATTATTATTATTTCCCCACTCAGTCCGGTGTTTGATGAGATGCCCATTAAAGGTCTGCGGTATCTCTCTCAGTCCACTGACTCCCTCAACAGAACCAACCAGGTCACAGAGTCCATGGAATCACTCACTGATGAAGGTCAGTACACACACACACACACGTGCACCCATCAGAAAGAGTCAACTTCTTTATTTTTATCTGAAATTCAGTGTAATTCAATGTCAGAATAATTGGGGAAAAACTGTATCCTAACATTTTAGTCTTTTAACAGTGCTTGCAAATAACTAGTTTAAGTGAAATGAAGTGTCAGAAGCTTTTTAATGCATTTGATATGATCCACTAAATATAAAATGAGCTTCAGATTGCAACATTCAAAGTGCAATGTGTGTTGTTGACTCAGGGACGGAGATGATGGATGGGCAGCTGATGGGTGAGTTTGAGGCCGAGGCAAAGGAGCTAGAAGCTGATTCGTGGAGTTTGGGCGTGGAGCAGCAGTACCTGCAGCAGCTGGACAAAGAGCTGGTGAAGAGACAAGATGTCATCTACGGTACAGTTAACTACACAACACTATGATTGAAGAAAACGTGGAAAAAAGGACCATTTGATAAGGTTATTCAGTAAAGTTGCCCACATGTTGTTAAATCAAGCTTAGCTTTTGATTAGCATCTAAATGTGTCAAATACATTTAGATGTAATGATTCTGAGTGGCTCTTGCCTGGCAATATAAAACATGTGGTAACATCTTGTCAAGAATACAATTAAACTCTTTATAGTTTTCTGAGAAAGAAAGAGGCCAATACATAGTGCACATCTGTGGAAGCATTTAAAACAGCATTTTATGCCATTGTGTGACTAAGTCTCATTTCTTGGTATTTTCTCCAGAGCTGATGCAGACGGAGATGCATCACATCCGGACGTTGCGCATTATGTCAGAAGTGTTCAGTAAAGGCCTTCAGAAGGAGGCACAGCTGGAGCTCCAGACAGTGGAGAAGCTGTTCCCTGCTCTAGACGAGCTCCTGGAGCTCCACACGCAGCACCTCCTGCGCCTCCTGGAGAGGAAGAGAGAGTGTCAGCTAGAAGGTGGAAACGTGGATGCAGGATTCATCATCAACAGGATAGGAGACATCCTGGTCAACCAGGTCAGAGGAGGGATGGAGTGGGTGGATGGGGATCTTGTGCATGCCTGTGTGTATATGTGAGTGTGGGCGTGTGTGTGTGTGTATGCGCAAGTGTGTTTGTACTACCTCTTGGGACCTTTTCCAGTTTAGAAGTATACCAGGTACTCGTAGTCCTCGTAGTTGCTTCATATATGTCCATGTTTTTTATAAAAAATTCTTTAGGTATTCAATACTGCCTAAACTTTCTTTATATTTCTCCTAGCTTATTGTTAAAGTTTTGAAACAAAACAATTCAGTTCAAATCAGAAAATGCCCTAATACACAGAGTTTTAGCTTAGCTTTAGCTTTCTACCTTAGCGTTTACTTGTGGCGTTTATGTTGCAAATTGAAGTTTCTCATTTTCTGCTCTAGTTCTCTGGCTACAACGGTGAAAGTATGAGGAGGATTTACGGAAGATTCTGCAGTCGCCACAACGAAGCAGTCAACTTGTACAAGGACCTGCTGACCAAAGACAAACGCTTCAAAGCCTTCATTAAAGTAAGGCCTCCATCTCAGACCTTGATGTGTTTATCATACATTTATTGTATGGTAGTGTTACCATTTGGAGTCTGCACACTAGGTGATTCTTAGATAAACTAATTTATTTTATTTTACCGAAACTTTACCTATCTGGGAAGTAAAATAAGTCTATGGGAGCATCAATTGGTGTATGGACATTCTGGTCTCTAGATATTAGTCACTTCTGTCCAGCATGTATAGTTTATCAAATTTTAATGTGCATGCTTTTGTATGCTCACTGTTTAGAGAAGTGTCATCTGCGTGCATTGTTCTGCTTTTGTGAATGACAGGTCTAACTTCTGTTTTACAATGCGTTTTAATATTGAGAGCAGGGAGCTTCTCCTATCTCTGTCTTGCTTCTTATTCTTTTGCATACACAGTACATTTCATTCGATGAAACATGCATGTTTGAATATAAAAGCTTGTATAAACATTTGTAATATTTTATTATATTTTCTCATTGGTTATTTGAAACCATGTCTTGTTTTGAGCCACCTGTTGTGTGGGCATGTTTTGCTAAGGCACCTTTTGTTGGTTCTTCCAGAAAAAGATGAGCAGCAGCATTGTGCGGAGGCTTGGTATCCCAGAATGCATCCTGCTGGTGACCCAGAGGATAACAAAGTACCCGGTGTTGATTCAGAGAATGCTACAGCACACTAAAGGTTAGCTTCACGTCAATGTGTTCATCCATGATTTTACTGTGTGCACAAGAAGGATGATTTTGGCTTAAAGGTTCAGTGAGTAGAATTTAGGGACATCTAGTGGTGAAGTTGTATGTTGCAGCTGAATACCCCCCACCTCATCCTCTCCTTCCATACACAAAAGAGAACCTGTGGTAGCCTTCAGTTGTCATAAAAACTCAAAAGGTGTTAAGTTTGTCCAGTCTGGACTAATGTTAAAAACATGCCGGCCTCCGTAGAGAGGACCCCCCCCCCCGATGGAAATAGGGCTCATTCTACAGTAAAGAAAACACCAATTTTTGCAATTTAGGTGATTATGCATTAGTGAAAACATCACTGGGATTATTTTGTATTCAATTTCTACCAATAGATCCCTTTCAGTTAAATCTTACACTCTACCTTTAAACTGTAAAGAACCTCAATAACCACAGATTTGATGGACCCATTATTTAACTTTTTTTTAAGTTGTCAAGATGTAAGAGGGTCACAAATTCATCCTGGTGATTTAACTCCATTTGATCTCCTGCTAATTCTTTGAACCAAATAGAATAAGAATACAGATTAGACTCAGTGTGCTGGTTTCTCTGCCTTTCTGTGTATGATTTTTATTTGATTGCAGATTAAAAAATTCATAGGGAGAGTGCAGACTTGGTGTGCAAAGACACAGGTACAGTCAGTGCAGTACTTGATGCAGTACCTACTTGTCACAAACCTGTAGTTTTACTCACCCAATTTATTGTGAAATAAATAGAAAGGCAAGTAGATGAGTGAAAAGTACTGTATGGCACTCTTGCCACTTGTCAACGCAGAACAAATGAGTGCATTTACAGTCATAGATATAAAGGCTGTAAAGTATTCTGTCGTATTCTTTAAGATAGTTTTTTGTCTTTAAATTGAACCCCTCTCTTTGTGAGCTGCATTAATTATGCTCTCATCTAAAGGATTTTTCCATTAACCAGTGACAGAGAATAAGACAGAATAAGTCAAATTAATGCATGAGGATCTGGAAAATGTTGCAGCTTGATAGATCATTAGAGTAGCAAGTTGATTTGCAGATTAAAGCACATCTAAACACTTTAGATGTGGTCTGAGCAGTTAAAGTCGTAATGCTGCAATGCAACTCCAAAGTGTCACTTGTTTTAGGAAACAAATATTTCACACCATATTTATATCTGATTTAAAGCAGCTCTCGTCAGTTGGCCTCCCACTGTGTACATTCTCTGTAATCCTTCCCCAAAGCCTGTTTATAGTTCCATGTGGGATGAGCTCTGACTTAATCCCTAAGGTGCTTCAAGAAGACTCTCTTGCCAACTGTAATATATTCTTTACTCTATATTCTTTTTTATACATATAAAACACAGTACAGTTGGTGCTGTAGAGGACAGACATACAGCAGCCTCAAGGGGAAAATATTTTTCTTT